GCGTGCGCTCGCCAGGCAGACAGAGAGAGACATAGAGACAGAAAGCGAGAAATCACCCCCCAGGGGGGATGGTCACGCCGCAATCCCTTCTCCTCCATTCTCCTCTCGGGATCTTGGGCATGCACACACATGAGCCCAGCATGAGTTTTAAGCCACTGGGGCCGGGACACGAACTGCAGTCGACTACATGGGAGTCCAGCGACATAGCCATTATGCTAACTGCTGGTCCCCCTACTACCTAATTTAAAAACTGAATGAGACAGTTGAGTGGCCCTGCAATACTCATTTGCTCACTTTTCAATAGTAACAGAAAGCACTTTAGGTAGGCAAATGGTTGGCCAGATAAAGATTACATTTCCAGTTGTGTTAGTCTGTTCTGTGATGCTATAACAGAACACCTGAGACTGGGTAATTTATAAATAACAGATATTTAATTCTTATGGTTCTGGAGACTGGGAAATCCAAGGTTGAAAGGCCCACCTCTGGTGAAGGCCTTCTTGTTGCATCGTAACATTGCAGAAGTCATCACACGGTGAGAGAGGGTAAGAGAGAGAAAAAGACAGAGAAAGAGAGAAAGGAATGAGGCTGAACTCACCTTTTTACCAGGAACCTACTTGCATGTAACTACTTCAGTCCTTTGATAAACTGCAGTAGCCCATTTATGAGGGCCCTTGTGACCTAATCACTTCTTAAAGGTCTCACCTCTCAACACTGTTGCTTTCAGGACTAAGTTTCCAACAGGTGAACTTTGAAGGGACACATCCATACCATAGCATCAGCCTCCCTTACATCACTGGACTCCCATCTTGTTGACTGCGGTTCAAGTCCCAGACCCGGCAGCTTAAAAATCACTCCAGGAATGTGTGCATGAGTGCCCCAAATCCTGAGGAGAATGGAAGAGAAGGGGCTGTGGCATGGCCATCCCCCCTCCCCTGGGGGAGTGATTTCTCACCTCCTGTCTCTCTCTGTCTCTCTGGTGAATGCACATGCCCTATAGCAAAAATTTCTCTTAAAAAAATCTGCATAAATGTCATCATCTAAAACCTTCTGAATCAGATTAGTTCCTCCTGAAAGTGTAGCTCCATATTCTTCTGCTAATTCAATTTCTGATGCATTCCCTTTAAATACTGCAACTTCATTACGTGAATGGTTATAGAAGACTACAAACGCTAGCAAATGGTTCCACTTTGTTCTTCTTTCTCAGTGCCATATCCAACATCAAATCAAGATAAACGTCTTGCTTTGGATTAGTAAAGTCCAGAGCTTGAAATTCCTTACGCTAAGTGAATAGCTTTCTCCACTTCATACATCTGCCTTGGGTTTAGGCTTTTTAAACAGGCATCATCCTCAGGTTCATCCTCCATTTAGGGATATGATTTAATTTTTCTATCTCATCTTTTTTTTCATTTTATGCTTTTCCTTTGACACTTTTTTTTTGGTTTGGTTTTGTTTTTGTAGGCTTTGCAGCAGCAGCAAAAGTCTATTGGTCATTTAAATATTTATAGAACAAGGCTAAAGAGATTACTGATAAATCATCTTGAACAAACTAGGCTTTTGATGGCATATAAGACTCTACCAAGACATCTTATGGTGGCTGCCACATTGACCATTCCAGATTGTGTTAATACACTTGATCCTATGCTTCAGCTGGGGAGAATTTTAGAAGAGCTCCATTCCTGAATTGGTGGAGGGGGAGGAAATGAGAAGAAAGGAACAAGAGGAACCCGCAGGTTGTTTTTTAAGTGGTTGCATCCATCTACTCTCCCTTGCTAACACTTGCCCTTAGGTAGGTCACCTGATTAAATTCTGGCCAAGGAGATGCATGTAGAAGAGTTGTTTGGAACTTTTGAAAAGGTGCCCTAATTTGCCAGCTTAGTTCATTAATATCTACTTCTTTTTCCTATCTTCTTCATCTTTCCTGCTGCTTAAAGCGCAAAAGCAATGGTTGGAGCTCCAGTAGCCATTCTGAGGTGACTTTATGGATCCAAGTCAGACAAAGATAATGCTGAAGTAGAAAGAAAAGACTAAGTTCCTGATGACCACAGAACCACCAGATCAGTCCTGCTCTGCCAATTCTAGACTTACTTAATGTGAGAGAAAAATAAATTTCTATTTTGTTTATGTCACCAGATTTGAGGGGTTTTGCTATTGGTATTGGAACATAAATCCAGTTGGGGTGTGTGTGTGTTTCTTATTGATATTTAGGAGTTTTAAAATCAGGATATTATTCATTGTGGATTTTATTTGAGGGGAATATAATTTCCTAGTCTATGGTTTCATTTTCTTTATGATGTCTTTTGATATACATTCAAAATGAACTTTAATAGAGTTGAATATATTCGTATAGAAAAGGATTTTTTCCTTGAATTATTCATAGCATTGGTAAATTAAGTAGGTACCGCCAAGTTCACAGCACATAAAAATAGCATCGTTAAAAGCAAATCTCTGGGAGCTGCTCTGTGGGCTGGTAGTGAAGGAAGCCAGATCCCACATAGACAACTGCAGTTCTAATCCCAGCCCAGTGGCTTGATAAATATGCTGGGCACATGTGCCTAGGTGCCCGAAATCCCAACAGGATGGAAAAGTAGAGGAGAAGGGCTTACTACATGACTACACCCCACTGCAGAGTTCTCCCACTTCCTTTCTCTCTCTGGTAAATATACCCACTGGCAATAATTAAAATAAAAAAGTGGATCTCTATCTTTCTGATTCATTTCCTGCATTTATCAATATATTTTCATATTGAAAATAAAGAGCTACAAGGGACTTCAAAAAATTCACGGAAAAAAAGTGAAATTAAAGGGAACTAGCAGTTGGTGTAATGGCTATGTTGTTGGACTCCCATGTAGTCAACCGCGATATGAGTCCTGGACCCGGTGGCTTAAACTCACACTGGACATGTGTGCGTGTGTGCCCAAGAGCCTGAGAGGAGAATGGAGGAGAAGGGATTGCGGCGTGGCCATTCCTCTTGGGGGGTGATTTCTCACTTTCTCTTTCTCTCTCTCTCTCTCTCTGTCTTTCTGGTGAGCACATGTACCCTATAGCAAAAAACTCTCCAAAAAAAAAAGGTGAAATTAAAGTATAAGTTTATTTTGGTGCAAATATTTTTGGAAATTCATGCATAGTTTTTAGGTTTTTTAAGAATTATTTTATTTAACTGTATTTATTTATGTATTTTCATTTGACCAGACAGGGACAGAGGGAGAGAAGAGAAAATGAGAAAGCAAGCCACCAGGCCTGGGACTCAAACCATGGTTGGCCATGGGGGAGTTCAGCGCCCTCAACTACCATGCCACCTGCTGGCTCTAAGTGAGAAAGCACACTGCCAGGTCCAGGCCGAGAACCATCCTCAACCATGCAGGAGTCCAGCACCCTAACCACTACGTCACTGCCCCCATAGTTTATTACAATACGCAATTTATGTGAACTTATGGAAGGCCCCCTTGTATATCTTCAATACATGCTTTGTTTTATAAGTACTCTCATATTGCTCTAAGGGAAAGGGAGGTGATTATTTTTTCTGTTAAAGGCCAGGTAGTAAATATTGTTTTTAGCAGGTCATAAGACTTCTGTCGGAGCCACCAAACTACTGACCTTGGAGTGCAAAAGCCATCAAACAATATGTAAGAATAACGTGGCTTTATTCATTGCACTGAAATTTGAATTTCATCTCACAAAATCTTCTTCTTTTGATGTTTTCCCCAAGCATTTAAAAATGTAAAAACCGTAGCGCTCTTGGGCGCTGGGAAAACAGGCGGTAGACTGGGTGTGGCCTGCATACAGCAATTTCCTGACCCTGCTCCTGTTTTGCTGGATCCTGCAAAGGCAAAATATCAGTTGATAGATGTTGTCCAACACTGAGTATTTTGGAAGCAGTTTTTGGCTTGTCCTGTGCTTCTGGCTTGTCCTTGGAAAAGTGCATACAGTTGAGAACCAAGAAGTGAAGAGGACAGCTACAGGCCTGTCTCAGCTCGTGCTGTACATGTGTATGACAGGGCGCCGGCTATCTAGATGAGTGCATTGTGAGGTAAGGGGTGGGAAGATCCTATTGCGTGGCTAGCAAGCCTGCTGTGCCGGCCTGCCAGGACCCTCCTGGTCCTGCCCTCTCTCCCAGGGAAGGGGGTGTGTACAACATCCATCCCTGCTCATGTCTAACGCTTTGCAAAAGAGGCATTTGGTTTCAACCACGCAGTCCCCTCGTTAGATGGTATTTCCAAGTCCTGGTTCTTAGTTTCCAAATCTTGGTCTCTGACCCCCACCCCCATCCCCTACCCCCACCCCAACGAAGGTTCTCTAGCGCTAACCCAAGGCAAGGTCACTTTCCTCCGTGTCAGAAAGAATTGTTTTTGTGTGTTTATCAAGCAGACAGAGGGGCCATCGTGTCGGTGAGACACCTCCTGCAAAAGCACAATCTCTCAAACCCTCAGGTACTGCAGCGTTAGACAGGCTGTATCTCCGCAAGGTGAAGGGACCCAGTCAGCCAGGAGCGTTAGGTACGCCCGGGGCGAAGAACCCCGACCTTAGAGGCAGGTGCAGGAGGCACTTGGGGAAGGAAGTTAGGGCCCTGTTCCAATAGCAACATCGAAGTCGCAGAGCCCTGACGGTGAC